TAGTAGCAAAAGTCATTTACCAAGTTGAACAGAGTATGTATAAGTATTGCAGCTACAAACCTTAGCTGTAACATATGACGGTCACCAGGAACATTACCAACCTAACAAGAACAGATAAACTTTTAATTAGTTGAAGTATGAACAAAAGTGTTAAACATATCATTTCTAGCTGAAATTACCTGGGCACTCGATATGAGAGGATCCCTCAAAACAGATTCTAATAGCTCACGAGCTTTTCCGTAATCTTTAGCTTGCAATTTCAAGAGTCCTTCATGATATGTTTGGGAAAGATGGAACTCCTGAAAATGATGGCAAAAGAGTTCTTAGGAAATAAATTTTCATATTAGATGGTACAATCAATTAACTGAAGTTCATTGCTAGAGATCAGCAGTCCCACAGTACAAATAAATAAAAATGGACATGCATTTCACAAACACAAAGTGCATATATAGGAACTATATGGAAAGTTCATGCCACATTGTTGGGAGTTGGAACTTCTGACCTTCAGTTGCATGGACAGGGACATGAGTCATGTTCCAATGCATATCCAAGTCAAATTTTATATATGAGAAATAACAAACAACAAGAACACCTAAAGTGAGTTAAATTAAATCTATGAACAACATGCGAATAAAGGTTGGAGACTATTGAAGGAGAAATGAACTGTTTCTTCTCCATAGGAATGCGTAATTACCTCTATTATTTTGTGCTAATTAATTCATAATATTGATGTGTGTGTCACTCTCCTCAACTTCAGTGCTTTGATAAATTGCTGATTTATGTGCATGCCAAATATATATTTATCACATTTAGTCAATAATGGTTCTCCATTTTAAATAATGATATCAAGTATGTTCATGAATCAACAATAACAACAAAATGATAAGTCCCAATTATTCGGGGTCCGCTACATGGATTTTTTATCGTCTTTTGGATCTATAAAAAGTCATATGTTTAGTTAAATTAAAAGTATTTAAATCCTTATTTATAGTTTTTACTAAAAATTTTTTAGATTTTCTTCTATCTTTCCTTGTTTTAGTTAAGCATGTTCATGAATCTTAAAAATTAATAATCACTGGTTCTCCTGTACATGCATAAAAGCAAAATTATAAGAAAATCAGGATTTATGTTAGGGCCAGTCATTCTAAAAAAAAAAGGATCGGATTACAATGATCAGCCATGCTGGACAAAAAGGATTGGAGTATTGGTTTTTCAAAAAATTAAATTAAAATTAGTAAAAACCTAAAGATCTGCTGATAAATTTAAATAAAAAGCATTCTTAATCATAATGATAGAATTCACCCTGAGGAAGAGAACAAATTATTATTGGAGTCGTCTGAATCATAATAAATATTTACAATACAAATTCAAGACCCAGAATACAAAAGTTATCTGACACTTGAATGAAGGCGTAAATATTTCGAGTTGGCATGCAAGCCCTGCTACCAGATGACTAGGTTAAGTAGAAATATGTAAAACAGGCTAACAAATGATCAATCCAAACTTCCAAATGCACAAAACCAACTATTTCATATACTAGTGAGCTAACTAGTAAGTCAAGAGAGCTAGCGAATATGCAGATACACTGAGAGTTAAAACTCTATGCCACTAAGCTGTTATAAGTTGTACATGAGGCTGTTTTGCCAGAACAAGCTCTTGATGTAACACCAAGGTGTGATCAATCATCAACAAATTACTGCAGAGTGCAGACTAAATGGAACAACAACTAATGAGCAAAAGCATCAAATTATGGACCTCGGTGAACTTACAAGGCAATTGGCCCTAGTCCCAATTTGAAAGAGCAAACCTTATAAGGCCAGAGAAGGTTTTAAACTTGTGGAATTTTACCATGTTCTGAGCACTAGCAATTCTTATGCATTAGTGACTAGCCAAAGTTAAAGTACAGCTTCAGAGATGAGGCATCTGTCTGCTCCAATTTAGACCTAAAAAATTCTAGCAATTTGTATCTGAATGACAGCTCCTTATACCACTATATTACCTTAAAAAACTAAATTCGCTTGTTTTGCGACCTCAAAACTTAAAAAAGTAAATAAACCCTGCAAGGGCAATGCAAAGCTTGCAAAATAATAACACTAGTATCAACAAGCGTTCTATCTTAATTTTAGCACGTCAAACCAGATAAAGGGACCAAAGAAGATCGTAGAAATCAACAATTGATCAATCCATGTTTTGAAAAGAAACTGAAAAAGGAAAACCCAATTAAAGTTAACCATATCCTTAGCTATGCCAATTCTTATGAGGTCATACATCTATCTCCTCCAATTTATTCCAACAACATTCACACAAATTCCTTCTGAAAGACAGCTCTAAATGCCACTAATTACCATGAAAAAAAAAGGACATGTTTCGCAACCATAGAGACAAAATAGTACCAATTAAAACTACAATTTTAATACAAGAAGAAGCAGAAGTGGAAGTACCAAAATGCCTAAACCATCTCAAATCCCTAATCCCAGAGAAACCCTGCCAGGGCAATGCAAAGTGTGCAGAAAGGAAATACTAGCAAAAACTAGGGTTCTCATTTTTGCTATCTTCACACGTCAAAACACCAAACTAAGACGCGAAAGAAGGTCCCTCACAATCAGACATCAATTTATCTTAACAAAAGAAAGAGCAACAACAACAGGAACTAGAGAGAGCGGGACGGAGGCGTGCCTGGGCTTCTTTGGTTGGGGCGAGGGGCTCCCACTTGCCTCCGGATTCCGTGTCGTTGATGGCCGCGATGGAGAACTTTGAGATACCCAAAGAGAAAATTCCCAATAATTAGAATTGGGAACCGATGGAAGGGGGCATCCGGATCCATCGAGGGTTAGGAGGCTCACCATGGCTGCGACGACGGTCGCGTCGTGCTCCGCTCCCTCTGCGGCGGGCGACAAGACTTGTGAGCGCACAAGCGCCGGTGGAGGATTCGGAGAAAGAAGACGAAGAAAGAAGCGGGTTTTTTCCTGTTGAGTTAATTACTTTGCGAGACCGAAGCGGCGTTAGAATACGGATTTCTAAGGATATTAAGAATATATATATATATATATATATATATATATATATATATATGTGAGAGAGAGAGAGAGAGAGAGAGAGCATTTTTTTTTCCTCGAAAAAGCGCCATATTTTAACCTTTTTTTTTCAGTAGAGAGTCCCTTTTCTTTAAGTCCCCAATTTTACTCCAAAAACGGCGAGGAATATTTTTTTACAGCGTTTTTAATTTGTTAATCTTTTTCTTGACATGGTTTTGTTGGGTTCAAGTTTCGTTTGATAAAATTTTAAAGGATGATTTCTTCTTAACAAGTTTTCTTTTCTTTTTTTTCTTAAAAAAATTTTAATTTTTTATTTGATATTTTTTCTTTAATACTCTAAATATCTATCGTCGCCATCACCTTCTCCTCCAAGTGAGCATTGTCGTATCCATCCCATTATGTTACATCGATTATCCCCCTCTCTTAATTCTCATATTTTATTATATTTATGTTTGTCTTTGGTCTATTTGATGACATATCGATAAATAGGTTAAGATAAAAGAAATAAAAATATATTAATTATTTGACCTTTTCAAAAGCTTCACCATAGGGTTACGAGTCGCGGAGGACAATGGAAAGGATGAGAGTAAGAAAGACAACATATTCTGAAGAATGAGAAAGAGAAAATGCTGATTAGAGAGAGAGAGAGAGAGACGGGAAAGGAGCTGAATTTGAATTAGTTAATGAGAGCAAAAAGGAGAGTGTGAGATGGGGGCATATAACCACTTGGATGAGTTGTGCATTGATCTATCAACAAGAATGTACGTTTCATACATTCAAAGCTAAGTTCTCTTGTGTTGAATCAAAGTACAACTCTACCGTATAACCTTATGATTGCATTTTCGATCATAGTAGCATAGTGGGACAAAAGAAGTGATGGTCAACAATCTCCACCTGAGGAGGAGACAACCACAAGAGGTATTTTGGATATTAAAGAAAAAAAATTAAAAACTATGAAATGTTTAATTAGATAAATTTAAATTTTTATTAAATAAGTATAAAATAAAAGTTTAAATTCTAACAAAAAAAATAATTTATACAATAATTTAAATACATATCAACATAAAGTTTAGATATTTATGCTTTAAATAATATTTTAGTACTAATAATTAATACATATATACTTAAATATTAATTTTTAAAGAATAAAGACTTTGATTATTATTATTTTCAATATTTTTACAATTTATAACATAATTTACTTTTTCCCGTATTATTAATTTGGTTTTAGACTCATTGGACCGGTTCTTAGAACTCTGAACCGGACCAAGAAACAACCGGTTGTAAAAAGATGGGAAGGAAAATAAAATAGATGTATTTTTGGGTTTTAAAAAGCAAATAAAATAAAAAATAAAACTTTCTATGGAAAAAAAAGTCGAAATTAACGTTATAATATATAAATATATATCATAAAAATAGAGAAAATAGTCTATTGATATTTTTACATATATATACCCCTAAAATTCAGGTATCCCATACATAACATTTTAAAAGTTTATATCTACATGTACATATATATACATATTTTTTCTTATATATATATATATATATATATATTAATATACCACTTAAATAAAGATATTAGTTCTACCTTGATATCTTTTATATGCATTAATATACCATATCTTGATTATCATTACAAAGTATTGCTATCAAATATCATTTTCACCACTTATTTTTCAAAATAATTATAATAAAAAATTCTTGTCTCAACATCAAATAATGAGATTCCAAAAAAGAACATGGATAAGGGGACAATTTTTTTGAAGGAAGGCTTTGGGAACACCTTTTTCTCTTTTTTTTTGGTGCAGAGAACACCTTTAATTTTATAATACAATTGTTGTTTATATAAAAAAATTACTTGTTCAAAAATATTAAATGGGCTAAAAAAAAGCTATTTTTTTACTTGCTTTGGGATCTCCTCCTCTATTAAGACAATTTTGTCCTCATCATTGTAATTAATGTGCTAATCACAGTCACCGCCCTCTGTCTTTGCACCGCCAATCCTCCGTGAGAGAAGGCAGACGGGATATATAGGAGGAAGCCCCGATTCAACGCCACCTTTTTCTCCTTGCTTCATCTTCACTCCTCTCCGGATGGCTGCTGCTACGGTGGCATTGTCAGCAGTAGCAACCTCCTTTTCTGCAAGCAGAAGAAAGGCTCGTCTCTCTTCGCTCCCCTCAAGGAGGCCTTCTCTCTTCTTCCTCTATGCCCCAGAGCCATCCCGCGCTTCAAAAATCCCACCTTTGGGCACAAAGGTCGGTTCTTTAGCCTCTGCCAGCCATGTGATCTGCCATTTCTAATGGTTTCTCGTGCTGACAGGGCTGTACCCTACGGTTGTTCGCCAGGGCTGTCTCCCCCGTTAGAAGCTTGTCGTCATGCCCTTCGACGGAATGCGCATGTGAACCGGAAGCGGAAGAAACCAGGCAGTCTGGCCTTGGTAGGCTCCTCCTGTGCGCCTCGGTCTGGAAAGCTTTCGTCTTTGCCTCCTGTGTTGCTTGTGGTGCTTGCCTCGCTGCCGATGGATCCATAAGAGCTTCTAGTTTGGGGTTGAAGGTTGCTACAGCGCTGAGAAGAATAGGCTGGCCTGATGAGGCCGTTGTGTTTGCCGTTGCGACCCTTCCTGTGCTGGAGCTCCGTGGCGCTATTCCGGTCGGCTACTGGATGCAGCTTGATCCTCTTAAGCTCACAGTCCTATCCATTCTTGGGTTCGTTTGTTCTCTTTGACCCAATTACTCATTTTGTGCAAATTGACGGAAATTTTGGTCTTGATGGATTTGTTCTTCTTCAGAAACATGGCTCCGGTGCCGTTCATCATCCTCTACCTGAAAAGGTTTGCGTCTTTCGTCTCACAAAGGAGTGCGGTGGCAACCCGGTTTGTGAACCTTTTGTTTGAGAGGGCCAGAGAGAAGGCAGGGCCCGTGGAGGAGTTCCAATGGCTGGGTTTGATGCTGTTTGTGGCGGTGCCTTTCCCTGGTACAGGTGCTTGGACTGGAGCCATCATCGCGTCCATCCTTGACATGCCTTTCTGGTCAGCTTTCTCAGCTAATTTTGTCGGGGTTGTTCTGGCTGGGCTGCTGGTTCATTTGCTCGTGAATCTTGGCCTGAAATATGCAGTCTTGACTGGTTTGCTTATGTTCTTTGCATCAACTGTCATATGGAGTGTCCTGCGGTCATTTAAGAGATCAATCAATTCAAACTGATGGTAATTGTGTGCTTCCTTTCTTGATTTGATGAAGAAACTAATTCAGCTTCATTGTTTTTTACTTTGTCATAGGAAGTTGCTTTGACTAATTTAAAGCAATTTATCTTCGAGATGCTATTTTCCAACTGCTGAGAATTTTGGTTGAATCTGGTAGCTTCATTTGTCCTAGTGAATTTGACATCTATTGCATCAGGTTGTCTGCCCTGCTATCAGTAGTTTGCTCTGCTCCTTTGGACCACCCCAGTAAACTTGCTTTATGAACAGAGCTTGTTGGAACTCTTGTACATCACCGAACAAAGGGTTTACTGATATGATTCTGCTTTGGCTAATATCCTTGTTTGCTATGGTTTACTGATATGATTCTGCTTTGAATTCAAAGGCAGCCCAGAACCTGGGAAGATTTGATTAAATGTAGCAGTACATCTTCATGCTTCCATCTTATTTTTTCTTTTCATTTTAATCATTTCAGCAACATTTTGACTCTATTTTTGCTACTTTACCATTTTGAATATATTTCTTTGCTTCAGGAAGGTCAAGTCAATTCATATAATGTTCTACTACCTGTAGAGGAACTTTGAAGAAAATACAGGATGCAGTTGGTTCAAACATAGAAGAAACTTGATGCATATTGCTTTTTACTTTACAACTCAAAGAGTCATAACTTCGGATTAAAAAAATGTCCAAGTTAATGATACATAGGAAAAATCTGCTTGGCATTTTATTTTGGAGCTGAAAGATTAAATATTGCGAGGTAATGAAGTTAGTTTCTGGCCACAGGCCCTCTTTATTTTGTTTGTTTGTTTCCAAATATTTTTTCTTTTCTGTCATTCTTTTCCCTCATATTTCTGTGTCTAATTTTCTCCAGAATTTGCTACCGACTCAATCAAACATGGTTAATTAACTAACATCAGTATGATTAGCCATTTTGGTCTTGCATCAAAAGAAAGTCATGCCAGTGTGACCTTCCCCAGTAGAGTAGCTGCTTTTCTTTTTTTTGCTCTTTCACAAGAAAGTGATGCCAGTGTTATGCTAATACTTGTCGGTTTATCATATGTAATCTGGCACTCATCAGCTGTGAATTGCAGCTTTGGTGGTGATCAAGTGATGTTCTATAGGCAAACAAGATGGCATTCAGATGAAGCAGCAGGAAATATGGCTCTTGGCTTTTGTTCTTGAAAGCCTGCTAAATTGGCTGCTGATCTTGTGACCATTATTTGGAAGAACTCCAATCTATGCCACCAATGAAGAGGAAGTCCAATCTATGCCTTTTATGCTTGATTTGAATTTGTCAAACTATGAGCTGGTTGATCTTCTTGAGCTCACACAATCCTTTCAGTGTCTGGTTTTCAAGAAATATATTTTTGGCAAGAATATATTTTGTTTAATTTGAAGATTATCTGGAAGAACTTACACAGAACAAATTACCCCCATTGGGTATTCTGCATGATCAATCCAATTAAGTTGAAATATTGTGCGAATTATTTTTCTTAAAGGAAATTAAATTAGATAGATAAACTGGTATCTCTTCCATGAACATAATTGGACAAACCTCCCATGAACCTTTTCTTTAATTCATTATCATATCACATGAGATTATTTTTCTTTAGGGGAAAAAAGGTGCGAAGTAAAATATCAAGAACTTTTTTTCTCAATTTTTATCAGAGAAAACTGAAATAATTTGTTTAACAATCAAATTATAATGTAAAATGTATTTTTCCTATAGTTGAATTCCTTATCACATCCTAATGTTGAATGTCCTTTTTATTCTTAATTCCTTAGAATTTAAATAATATGATTCTTCGAATAATTTGATTCTTATTAGGAATTCATAATTGTGATCTCCATCAAGCTTGGAGTCCTCGAAACAGAAGGATCCATCGCTCACCGTCCGATCACAATCGAACGGACTATGTATCTTTCCCGAGACCTGATGCTACCGTAAATCCGCCGTTCATTCTAGAATATTCGACTCCGCCGCGCTCTCTCTCCTCTATATATACATACATACGAAGATCGCTCGCCTATCGATCCAAACCCGCACGTCGTTCTTCACCGCCGCTGCCTAACGCAGTCCAACGACGATGCCTCGCCGAAGCTATGGAGGTGGTACCCCCTTGAATTTGATCGAGTGTATTTGGTCGTCGGTGTGATTATTATGATGATGTTCTTTGGTCGATCTCGTCATGGGTTGTGATCCAAGAAGGAACTTGACGTTTCTGATCTCTATGTTCCCTTTTGTTAGAAGTCTGCTCGCATCGGTTGTGCCTCTTCTGATTCTGTTGGATCTCATGGTGGTGTGATGGTTTCGTTCGGAGTTGGGATTGTCCACGACCACCGTTGTTCTTGGAAAAATTAGATCTTGTATTCTCGAAAGGATATATTGCAGAGTTACGTTCTCGCATCGGTGTTGAGTGAATCGTGACCTACCTCACACCATATGGTGTGAAGGATCATATATAGCTTTCCACAGATCCTTCATTTTTATTTGTTCGAGTGTATTATAAGCTGTTAAACGCTCTTGTTTTTCCTACTCACTCTGCTTCATACTGCTTCCGCATAGAAAATGTTGCTACTAGAAAGATAAGATTTCGGAGAATCAAATAGATGATTTGAACCTAAGGCCAAGAGAATTGATTACATATGTTGAATTTACTGGTAAGAACATGATAACTAGCCAATGTCATGGAAAGAAATGGAACTTACCACAAATTCTAACAAAGAGGAATCTTTGGCAGAATAAATATAGTGTTTTCCTGATTTTATTTGTTCGATAGATGTATGAATCCGCCTCAACTCTGTTTGAAGTTCTTCACACTAAAGCAGATTTCTATGTGAGAGAGCCATTTTGCACTTGACATTTCTTTTGTTTATTGTTTAAGATCATGAGGTTAATGTTTAAAGATTTGGTGGATGTTAACAAGAATCTTGTATGTGTAAATAGGAAACCAATTATAACTTCTTGGTTTCTTTTGTCATGTAGGAACTTATCTTATTGGTACCATATAACAACCATGCTTATAGGCTGTTTTATATCTTAATAATAGCCTTTATTGCTCATGCGCTTAACTAATGGTTTTATTGGCTTCTTAATGTGCTTCTTTAAGGCCTTCTTTTAATTTTTATGTGCTATATGTTTGGAATTACAGCAACAACAACAACAACAAGCTCTGTATGACATTTTCTTTCAGTTGTTTGGATCATATTGTTTCCTCTAAGTTGTGCAGCTGTCTGGGATTTTGAACTGGAATCATATAATCATCTGTCAGATTTTTACCAGTATGAAATCCTTAAACTACTGCTCCATGTCCTCGCAATCTCCAACTTGTGTGTAAAGAGACTATTTACAAATAAAGTGTACTGATTGCTGAAACTATTGTGTGTTGATGTTCTGTGAGTGATTAGAGTAGGCATTAGAGTGAACAAGTCGTCTGAGCGATGAATGGCCATCTCCATAAGCCAATTAGTTTCAAGCTTATATGGTTAAAAGTGTTGAATCTACCGGTAGCTCTGGTTCTCGTGCTGCACGTCGATCAGCTTCACCAAGAGATCCAATGCAGACAGGTACCTTAATTATTTCTTCCCTTTTGGATGAGCGCTTAGAATTTTGGATATTGGATATTATGCTTTCCAATTTGAGTTTTAGGATGTCATCTTAATATAGTCTTATCATGTTTCAACTCATCTAGAGCCAGTATATGCTGCTCATTTATGTTGTACACCTTTTGACCTCTGCATGCGATTGCAATCTACAATGAGAAACCTTGTTTGAACAGTGTTGACTTTATTTTTGAAGCTCTATTTCCGGCCTTTTAAAATTGGTCATCCTCTATGGAGCTTTTTGAGACATATTTAAGCATGTTGGACTATTTGTTGCTTGTCGCTACTTGTGCTGCAGCTCGCTCTGCGCCCCCCACCAGCTCCTGCTCAAGGAGGAGGATTGATGCTTGGAGGAATTGGTGCCACCATTGCAGATGGTTAGTATGACACTTGTGCTGCTTTGTAGACCTAATTAATGACTGCTTTCTATGTTTTGTTATCTATCTATAGGCATGACATTTGGTGCTGGAAGTGCTATTGCACGCAGAGCTGTTGATGCTGTTCTCGGCTGTCCTACTGTTCAACATGAGAAGGCTGCCTCTCCAGCTGATTCAGTGAGTGGCCCTACTTCTAAGGGTTCTGATGCTTGCACTACTCACGTTAAAGCCTTCCAAGATGTAAGTGCATACGTTGGAGCAACACTATTGTATCTGCCAATCTGCAATGGTAAGACTGAATCCCTTGTTTGAATGTCTTGTGAAACAGTGCATCAACAACTATGAGAGTGATATTAGCAAATGCCAGTTCTACATGGACATGCTGAATGAGTGTCGACGGTGTTCTGGAGCTGTTATGTAGACGATGGCTATTCTACTACTCTGATCCTATGTCAAGTAAGGTAGTTTTGTGACTTGGTTATGCTTGAAGCTACTGGTTGATAGATTACTTTATAGTACCAAGCTTAAATAGAGATCTGTGCTGATATTGGCATTATCGGGGACATGCAAGAAATAACTGATTAGCCCTTCTTTTTTTAGTTTATAGTTTAGGCATTAGTTTTTTCTTTTTCTTCGTAAAAGGAATTAGAATTAGTCAGACATTGGACTAGAGAAGGTAAATGGCAATCATTGTCTAGTTTGTGTACCCAAACAACATAGTCAATGTGGCCAGGAAACTTGATAGTCAAGACCAAACTTTACTCGAGCAATAATACATTAACTCTGAAACAAACAGACCCAGACATGTACATCTCTCACCACCCCAAAGCTAAATGGTACAGAAAATAAGATACAGATGTAAAGTTCAGTGAAAAAAAGGACATAGCTAAAATCGCAATGAAAACTTACATCAAACTGCTGACTGCTATACATCCCAGCCATCTTTTCTGCTACCAAAGCTCCATTTATTGGCAGCCAAATCTCCATACAGCTCTGAGAACCTAGCAAGGCATTCACTCCTCACTTGATAGTGTTCCTGTGTGTTTCGACTAATGGCCACTCCTGAGAACTTTGATGTGTCTAAAGCCCACGAGGGCTTCACGTATTCGATCGTCTTCCTTGATGAACTTGCATTTGCATACAAGAAATTCATAAGCAAATCCTCGCAGTTGAAGAACTTATCCACAATGTCCCTCCCAATCTTTGTGTCATTGCTCCAATACCTTTCGAATGCTAATTTATGATCCATGAATGCAGCTCCTGCGAGTATCATGTTGTAACCTCCTTGTTTCCGAGCATACTTCTCATCCCTGTACCTTAGTGGTTTTCCTTCTGCAACACGCGGGTAGAATCCCACAATCCTATCAGGGTGATCCCTCCATATCTTGAATCCACGCTCTATGTTGTCACAGGTCATCATGATATCATCATCGAGTTCCAAAACTGCTCTTGTTTTTATGGATGGATCTACATTGAACCTGTTGTTTAAGGAGTTCCTCTTCTCCACTCGGATTCGAAGTGGCACTGCTGAGTCAAACCTGGTAACATTTGGTGGCTGGCCTTTGTTCCACACCACCAGGATCTCTTGTATTGATGTGCATCTCGAGTAATGTTTCACGTACATCTTCAAATTCCAGAGGCGGGCATCATATGTCATTGTCACAAGCGTGAACTGAGAGTAGTGCCCCTTCAATGAGTAAGCCTCCCCTGCACCATTGCCTCCATATACATAATGGGTGCCGATACATGTTAATGAAACCACTACCACAAATATAATAGCTAGGATTGACTGGCCTGTACAGGTGTTGGGTCTAATTCTTCCTCCCAATGGAGATGTCATATTGTTCAAATGGCTGCAAAGCCATCTAAACAAAGAACAATGTTGAAGATGATGTTCTTGTGACCGAAGGACATCATTTGGCTTCCTCGAAAAATGAAGACATTGGCTAAGAGGTAAATTGCACTTAATTGCACTTAGGAACACCCCTGATAATATAACCAGTACAATAGCAGCTCCAAATGCTGAGTAGCCTATCAAAAGCCTGCGAACGACATCACCCGAAGGAACTCGATCACCATCCATTACCGCAACCCATTGATCCGACGTGAGCCGTTGCACATCTAGGTGATGGTAACGAGCACCATTCCAAGCATTACTGCCTTTTTGAGGCTCATCCGAACCAAGTGGAACTTCGACTTCCTCGTATTCATCTTTGGCAAGAACCTTGACATTGAAAAGGCGTATACGCTGCCCATATGTACCACCGCAGTCTTGCCCTGGGCGATAGAGCTCACCTTTAGAAGTGAATGGCCTTCCTGCATTTCTAGCACCTAAACTCTTATCCATGTTATGAACTGGATTCTGTTTGTGTGGCTTCCAAGGACCAAGCAGTGAGCTACTGTACCAGATTTCAAGCTCTCCATTCTTTTTGGCACCCACAGAACTGAAATCTGACCCAAAAAGCCAAAAATAACCCTGATGATTTATAAGGAATGAGTCTACAAGCGGCTTCTTAAGAATGACCTTTTCCAGTGTCCACCTTAAAGGAAAATTCACTGCCCGGTAAAGCCGGAGGTCCGCTTTCTCACTGCCTTCGGGCATCATATAGATCTGCGGAGTCCACATGAAAATGAGAAACTGGGGAAACTAAAATGTTCAATTATAAACCGGTTCCTGGCCCTCTTCTATCAAGGCATCGGAGAAGTAGCATTTTCACATCTAATAAGAAAGGATGTTCTTACCTGGTCCTGGTAGCTGAAAACATATGGGTAAGAAAGGTGCCATTCTTCGTCCAGCACAATACCCAGGTGGTGCCATGTTGCACCCTTGTCCTTGCTCCTAGCAACACCAATGTCTCCTTGCAATGTGACAGAGTTCTTCGTTTCAAAGAACAAATACAAAATATCTTCCTGAAAAACAATTATAAGTTAGAAAGAAGCACTCTAATATCGCTGTGAATGGCAGTAGTGAACCTCATTGCCAGAGAAAATGTACTGATATTGCAAGCAGAACATGAATAAAAAGACTAAAACCATCCAAACGTTAATGTGGTAGATTTCAAGCAAATAATTACCTTATAAATGATCCATCTACTTCGTTATTTCAAGAAAATAAAGTATAAGCTATTGCTCAACTGTTTGTAGTATAATGCAATTTGGATACATAGAAATCCAACAGATGAAAACATTCTCAACTTGAGCTTCATCCATCTTATGAAATTTAAGAGACAACATTCAAGCAAATGGAATTATATTTGCAGCAGTAATTATCTTCCAGAAGAACTTAGTCAACAGCAAGTTTAATTGGAGCTCTTTTCCAAAGACTAGCATATACAAAGCTGTCTTATGTATTGATCATCACCACTCTGGATTTCATCATTTCCATGGTTTCCTATCACCATCTTCATTTTGGCTTTAACATATCCTTCATCAAACATTCAAAAGGAAAGCTGTGTTTTCCCATTGCTTGGTGAATTCCTAACTTTATTCTTTTGTGCATCTTTTGGTTTTTTCGACCTAAGAAAAACCAGCATGCTACCAAAAATTAATTGATTCTTCACCTATTATGCTAAGCAACTCAACAGAATGTCAATTGATCTTGCAATGGCACTCCTATCCCAATTTAACTATATGTTGGTCGACTAAGAGCATTTAAACTGAAATAGCTTTGCATGTCAGTCCCACCATATTCTGATTTAAGTTTGCTGTATAGTACATATACAGTAGTACCTAGGCTCAAAAACCATATAAAGAGTTTCTTGATGTGGCAATTCTTGACAATAGATATGGATGCGCAACCATATTTTTGCCACTATTTCTAGGTATCTGATTCCATATAAATCACTCCTAAAGGAATAGTGGTCCCAAAATATCATATGCACTTTAGCTTTGGCCGCCAAATGGAAGGCAGTTTTAGTTCTTATAAACGTATAAATTAAGCTTGTCTTCCTGCCTCATGGTAGGTGCCAATTTTATGCATCAGTCACTGACTTAATTGCCTTATGTTCATAGTGATTCTCCCTTCCATTTAATTTGTCACCAACCAGACCTCTTCATTTATCATTTCAATTTTCTTTGTGGGTCAATAAAATATTAGCTCTCGGTTGAAAAAAGTCTAATACTAGTACTAATGGCTTATTTTCATCAAATGTCAGACCTTTATAGTAAGGACATCCTCCTGTTCTAACTAGACAAAGTCTTAATACCATCAGCTTATTTTCATCAAAAGTCAGACCTTGGTTGAGTCATTCATCATTCTTATTCTCTCTCTTCCATTTTCTGGGTTCAGAAAAGTAAAATTTTAGCTCAAAGAACTGATAAAATAAAAAGCCTGATTTCATTTTTTTTGCTTTTAGAAATACAACATTGTTTCTAAAACACAAATTTCCACAGTTTCATGCTAAACAGTACTTCTCAATTAAAAAAGAGGAATATGAGAAAGCTGAGTAAAGGTTAGACACACAAAATCTCATGCAGCTGATCGCATAATTCTACTTTATTCCCTTCTTCTGAAGTGAAACAAAATTGACCTATTTATCAATTGATCACAACTAGAACCTCAAATAGCTAAGCATGGGCTCCGTTGAGCTCAGAGACCATAACTGTCGGAGTCCCCGATTCGAAGCTCTAATTCACTGACCTGGATATAGAGGAAGGGATCGGCCACAAAGTTGCTAGGGAAGCCAGCGTCCGTCGCCGAGGCACAAGTGACCACCGGATTCGCCACCGGCCATGCCGCTGTCTCGTTGTCCCACACATTCCACTGCTCCATTCAATCCCCGAGACATCGCCCGATCAAGAACAACGGATCAAACATAACAAAGAAGAAGAAAGGAGAGGAGAAGGGTTTACGAATTCGATGGGCTTGAGGGAGAAGGGGGAATCTCCGTAGAAGAGGCCGACGGACCAGGATCCCTCGCCGTCGGGGCGGCATCCGGATGCAGAGGAGGGCGAGAGAGGCAGGGGTTTGGGGAAGGGGGAGACGGTGAGCCAGGCGAAAAGGGCGACGGTCGAGCCAAGGAGGAGGGCGGCAGAGGCAGCGAAAAGGAAGCCGGCCGAGCGGACGCACCGCCGCCATCGTCGCCCCGGGCTCATCTCTTCTTCTGCTCTCGCCTTCGATCCTCCCTTCACCGTTATCGCAGTCTAGTTGGTGTTAGTTTTATATATATATAGTGGCGGGTTGTCGTGTCTGAAGTCGTGGTAGGGGTTTTGTCTTACTATTCTCTGCCGATGTCGTAACAATGACGACGAAGACGAGTTGGAGTTTGGTTACGAGAAAGAAAACGACAGAAAGGAAAGGGCGGTAAAAGAAGTCCGCGGCCGCAGCGATGCTCTCTGATGAGGCGGTAAAAGCAGTCCGCGGCGGCAAAGATTATTGTTCTGATGAGGCCAATAAAACTTCATTGTTATTTCATTTACTTAAAACTCTAGTAAATATAATGCTCATCACAAGATTCAATTATAATGATAAAAATATTAAAAATAATTTACAGATTATATGGCTGTGATGTGATCGATCTATCTATCTATCAATATACAAATATAGGAAATCACACGATAAGCGTCCCCATCACCGCGTAGAAGAAGCGTGGGCAGAATCATTCTACAATTTCATATTGATATGACGAATTATTGGTGAATCTAAATCCGGAGTTGGGACAGAATAATTTGTAGCAAAGGTGTTCACTCTTCTTTTGATGCTTCCTGTTCTTGTAAGGTCCACGTCACATTTTGGAATGACCGAGGTGTCGCTTCGGGATACCACTCTGACTGAACCCAACTCAACCGACTTAGGTTAGACTGAAAGCGTGATCTGGCGCTTTACGATTCGCACAGCATGATCCGACCACTCTTTCTCCCGTGTCAAAGAAGCGTTCCCCACCACATCAGCATCCAAATATTTGCATGCTACAACAGCAAAAAAAGTCAAATTGCAAATCTCTGCGGGTTATAACTCCTGCCGGCATGTGGTAACATAACTCAAATGTTTCAAGTGTAAGAGAGAGAGAGAGAGAGAGAGAGAGAGAGAGAGCCCAGAATGTACCTTCATAGGGTTTCATGGAGAAACTGCTCAGCCGATCTAACAGTTGAATATTTAGAGAGCACTCAAATTGATCCAATTTAATATTTAGAGAACACTTTGACAAAAAGACCTAATAATAAACCAGATAGACAAAAAGATCAAATATTTAGAAAACACTTTGACAAAATGTTCTTCACAAGCCATAGTTGAAGAACATGAAATCCTCTGAGATTCTTGGACATGCAGCAAATTGTCGCAGAATGACAGCTTTAAATGATCCGCAAACAATTTCTCTGTTAATTGCCGGACCATGATGTGCGTACGAGGAAGAGAACTGTTACTGGGGTGATGGGAGGTAGAACAACTTATGAGCTTCCATGACTTCCAAATGCCACATTGCTTCCCGATCAGGATGTTGCGAGAGATCCACCATCTTATGAACCTGCAATAACAACAAAAGGATGAGATGAACTGTTTGCTAGCAGAAGGTTTCTAGATCTTTACTTAGCTGACATGGACATATAATGAACTGTATATAGTGTATCTCTTATCACAAAAGAGATATAACCAATATTGAGCTTATTTGGTATCAACTCATACGGGCAAGATCAGGACCCCTCAACAGTGAATCAGGCTGTTAATACTCCGTATGAGAAACTGATGCTGGAAAATACTTACGAGAAACTGATGTTGAAACTAGCTAGATTAAAAGAATAACATATCTCGCTGTATATTTTTTTTTCTTTTTCCTTTCCATATACAGTGTTACATAACCATGCACAACACTTGCAATGAGAACCAGCCTTGAACCCTCAACCACTTGACCACATATATAATGTCTAAACACCAGAATCTGTAAGGAGACTACATGTATCTGTTGATTAGTCACCATATCTGCCCCTTTTTGTGGAAGGCTAAAGCTGCAGGTATCCTAGTTTATGAATCTGTGTTTTTATTTATCCAGCCTCAAGATCACATAATTTGCCAGAATTATATATCCATACAGCTATACTTAGAACTACCATGTGCAGAAGTACTCTCTTCTTCTACCATCACCCAAAAAAGAAAAATAGAGAAAATAATTGATGTAGCATAGATTGCTTTTTAAACCATTGCTGATTAATGGGAGAATTGATATATCTTACAGTCAAAAGAATATATAATTGGCATAAAATTCACAAGTTGACCAATGCTTTTAATGTGGCTTATGAAATTTTACCAGAAAGCAACTAGGCCTACAGCTTGTGAGTGCATAAAAATGCAATATTGGTCCCACAAACAATTGCTGGGGCATCTCTCAAATCATTATCGTATATTTGCTACTGTACTATACCTAAGAGAATAGGCAATATTGTTTAACCTCGATACTTAAAAACAATTGCTACACATGATATGATACCCGATTATAGAAAATAAAGTTCTACCAGGAACTGAGTGTTTTGCTTGCATGGCCTGGATTTCTTTTTAAAGCAATAACTGATGGGTGGTCAATTGCCTCACTTAATCCCAAAAACCTGAATGTTGATGCAATAACAAATTTCAAACCTGAGATACTTCATAATCTTAAAACTTCCTTAATGAATTATCACTTATCAAACATATATTGAAATATATGTACTTTAAAGTTTAAACCATGTTTTTTATTTTTCAGTTTGCATTTATAAAAGTTCACGGTATACAGTTACTTGGCTAAAGGTCCTCATAGTTTGTTTTCCAGAACTGGTTAATTTTATATGGTACGTTTTAGAGATTCTCAAAGAACTTTCAGTGATAATGATGTGAAAACTGTAAATTAACAACTAACTTTTTATTTTGAAGGCTTCGACAATTTCAATAAGCAATTCAATTACACTTCAGATGCATCGACTTCAAAGGGATTGCCTTAATTAAGGTCCTAAACTGGCTTCTACCTTATTGGTCAGTGGGCACATTAGCTGGATGATAGCTTCACCTTTTAAGGAAAAGGTCTGCCATTATCAATGATGAAGATTACAATAATATAGAAGGTAACTGCAAAATATCAGATCTACACACTCTAAGGACTCTTCAGCCTCAGAAACACCTCTGCTAGCACGGTTTCTTTGGCAAACCCAAATGTTCTAGACAACAAATTTTTTGAAATTGAAAGGATAGAATAATAGACATCCAACAAAAGCCGTTTGCCACAACATTGACTATGATACAACAGACGAAGGATCAACATTAGAATCCTTAGTAAGAAAAATGGAACCTCATATAAATCGATGCAAACACTAAAAACTTGCACTTCAATGAACTCTTGCTTACTCTCGTATCAGATCAAGTTCAATTTTAGGAATGTTACATAGCATCAGCCCTAATCTTTGTTGCTTTTGCCCAAAAAAAAAAGAAAAAAAGAAATGGTTTATGCAAGGAAAAACTGAAAGCTCTGGGGCCGAAAGTCTACCACATAATGTTTGTATTTTGATTGATCATAAGATATGGTGTAAGAACAGAAAAGAAAAAAAAACTTTTACTAATTAAACAGAAGGAACATAGTGCATCATTTACCCCGTCTCCCTAATGGAAAGATCTTGAGGAGTACAGTAAAGTGAAATGATCTAAATAATAGGTAAAGATTCTAATTTATATTGGCAACAAAGTAAATCAACTACATTAACGAAAAACCTAAAAGATAATGAAAACAAGACCTTTTTTTCCTCAATCCCCAATATACTTCATAAAACCCTATCCAAGATTCTCTGCCTGGGTAACCTAGTATGGAGTTCGAGCAAGAGAAGGTACCCTGATCGTGGAAAGGCCACCGGATTGAGCGGCGACGTACGGCCCGACGACCATCACGTACATCCCTGAAACGGCAAGAAATAGGGGAAATGGCTTAGATTGCAGCAAGAGTGGTAAGGATCAAAATAAGTGACTTTTGTTGTCTTTGACCGACCAATCTTCCACTGCTGGGGCTGGGATTCGGCGGAGAGGAGGAGCTCGACGACGTCGGAGCCGTCATCGAGAAGGAAGCGCCCCTCATCGGTGCCCGACACCAAAACACCCTGCCTGCAACCGCCGCGTCATAGAAAGCGAACGAACGGGGAGGAAAGAAAGAGGTGAGGCTATTGTGCGGACCTGCAGCCAGGCGCGCTGGAAGAGGATGCCGAATAGGGTGGCGGCAGAGGAAGAGGCGGAGGCGGATGCGGCGCGAACATCCTTGAGTTCGCCGCAGAAGAGCTTCAACGCCGCGAGGCTGTAGTCCATTGCTAGACGGTGGATCCTCTTCGGCACAGGCGACCGCCTCGATCAAAGTAAAGGAAGGTCATTTTTCTATCTAAGCCCCTGTAAGTATATTTATTTTCATCTCTTTCTTATATTCTGTAGAATTATATTACTATAGTCCCTAATATTTTCAATAATACCAATAATACTGTCTTAAAGCATTAACTTCGATTTAGCTGAAGTTTTCTAATCTGGTCCTCATGGAAACTTAGATTTTGAGAAGCATCCCAGCGAAATGTTACCGGGTCGGATCCGATAGACTCCATCTAAGATCCAAACATGGGACATCCAATAAGAACCCTCTCTCTCTCTCTCTCTCTCTCTTTCTCTCTCTCTCTCTCTCTCTATATATATATATATAGAGAGAGAGAGAGAGAGAGAGAGAAAGAGAGAGAGACTTCTTTGCTCGAACACTGCAGAACACACAGATTTGCACAGCATGCAATTGAGACGCGTCTACAGTCTCCACAGCCTAAAGCAGGGGTGAGCAAAAAGGAAGGGATTCCGACATGAATCACTCATGGCGAAGAAGACGGACGTTAAGCCGCCTCAGCCACACCGAGTGAAGGATCATGTGGAACACATCGAACCTCCTGGGAGGGCTGTTCACCTCGAAGTGCCTCCTCACCATCCTCACCCGCCTCTGCATCCTGATGTACTGCCTGGGCGATATCGCCGTCAGAATCCGCTTGAGGTCGGGGATGTCCTCCGGCGACACCTGCACCGAGAAGTGATAGAAATAATAGAAGATAAGAACAATATAATATAAGAAGCTTTATTGAAATAGAGAAACTTTAGCTTGAATCTATTAACATGTTCCCTCTCCTATTTATAGGAATTAGGAGGAAGGATTTCCCTAACAGAATAGAAGATTTTCCTCAACAGAATAGAGAAATTTCCTCATATAGTTAGGAAAATCTTATCTTCTATCATGCCCCCGCAAGATGGTGCTCCTGACAAGGATACCAATCTTGGATTGATGCAAAGAATTGTTTACAAGCAAGAGGCTTCATGAGTAAAATAAGTGTAGATCGCTGCTGCTGCTGCTGCGATTGCTGTTGTTGTGATGGCACATGCGTTCCCTTCATTCTCCTTAAGTCTGCCGAATGTTGATAGATCAGCAAAGACTACCGCGA